GTGCTAGCATCTTTTAATTTAAACCTTTTGTTGCATCAACAGTCTTAAGAGGAATAAGAAAGATCAAAATCAAAATGGAAACAAACTATCTTTGTAGCTGTTTTTATTTTAGTCTTTTCTCTCAATTTGGGCCACAAAATAGGTCAGCTCCATTACTGATCAGCCTTCCCACAAATATTTAAAACAAATTGAATAGCACACCCAATACCCATCACAATTACACCAGGCACAATAACTAAATTAGCAATTCAACAAAATAATTGGAAATGCGATTCTCTCTATTCCACCAGCCTCCCTCGAGGGTTTATCCCATCTATGGAGGGAAACTCAGCTTTACTAATTCTGCAGCTAATTAGAGACACACTTGTAAATGAAGTTGTTTGTCTTAAAGTTGAAATTCTCTTCTGGGGGGTGGGGAGAAAATGAGAAGGTAAGGGGAGAGAGACAAATTCCTCCCATGCAGGGCCCCTGCACCTTTCCAAGCTAGGCTAAATGTTCAGGAGCAATCTTGAGAGCGGCTAGAGACCTCAAAGGTCATCTACTGCTTTATATTTTACAGGTGAGAACACTGACGTCCAAAAAGGTTAAGTGACTTTCTTCAGGTCACACTATTAGGAAATAGGAAAGCTGGAATTCAGACCCAGCTCCTTGACTCCAAATCTCAGTGCTCTTTCCATTGTACCACAGAGCAATGAAAACGTCTTCTCATTAGCAGCCATATCCTAACTTAATACTGAATTAATATTCTACTGGGCATAGCTAACGGACTCTAGTGCCTCAGAGATGACAGCAACAAGTAACGTTGCTAGGCAGTCTCCTTATAACAGGTTTGCCTGGCTGGTGCCCTTTTTTACTGGAGACCAGATAATCCCCATCTTTGCCAAAGGCCACTGTGGCTATGGGGGCAGGAAACCTCCTGCGAGCAACAGGTCAAATGGGATTAGAGCTAGAGTTATAGTAGAAAGGGCCCCTGGTCAGCGAGTCAGAAGACCTAGGTGCTAGTTGGGGCTCAGCTACTAGCTATACAACTTTGGACAAGTCCCTTTGGACACTCTGGCTCTCAACTTCCTCATTTATATCGGGCAGCTAGGTGGCACAGTGGTAAGAGTGCTGGACTTGGGAGTCAGGGCAGACACGAGTCAAAATCCTGCGTCAGACACTTGCTATGTTTGAACCTCTTTGTGCCTCAGTTTCCTCATCTGCAGAATGACGTATTGTCCTTGATGGCCTCTAAGGCCCCTTCCAGCACTAATTTTTATGATACTAGGCATGTTGGTTTCTTCTGCTTTCACCCTAAGCCCAGTTGACTATCCCCCTCCCCCTTTGCCAAGAGAATGGGCTGCTTGGGTACGCTAAAAATGGGGATCTAGTGAGCTGTTGATCAGTGAAACCAGTCTCTCTAGTGTCTTTTACTAGCAAAACCTGTGACTAACTGGCCTGATTCTTAGGACTCCACTGCTCAGCCAAAGATGGAAATATACCCTGGCCCATTTGTTTAATCGAATTTTGGAGAAGCAGTCCAAGAGACATGCCTGAGGTTTCAATTAAGTTGTCCTTGGCCTCTTTTTTTCTTTTTTTAAAAAGGAAGGCATAAATGCTTGTTTTTCATTACATAATGGGGAAATCCAATGCTTAACTTTCTTTTTCACTTATCTTTCACCATGTTTTTCAGGCTGTGACCTTTAAAAGCCCGAACTACAAATGTTCAAAGCATTAAGCAGCTCTACCCCAGCCTGGGGGTTCCTAGCTAATCTGTACTTGGCTGTGGGCTGCAGCTCCTATCCCAGGGCAGTGCTGGGGGTCATCCCTGAACCACCTGCAGGGCTTGGGAGGCTGAAATTTACCTCCTTTAGAAAACCAGTCCCAGTCTGTGCTAGGGATCTGGCCCCTGGGGGCCCCAGGCCTGGCATGGCACTGCTTCTTTTCAGTGAACCAACAAATCCTGGAAGTTTGGCGCTCTTACGCTGAACAAAGCACTGCCCTTAGCCACAAGGCAGAGCCAGCAGATGAAAGGGTGCCCTCGTTTGCTGCTGCCTCCTTCCTGAGGTTCTCTCTACTGCTCCTACTGCCCAGGTAGGGGAGGAAGTAGAAGGGCGCCTGCTTAAATGCTGATAAGTAAATTCAAAAGCATCCTTAGTGCAGCTTTGAATCTCGCTTTACTGCTTATCTTTTCAAACAATATGAACTACAAGTTATCACATTTAAAGTGTTTCATATAAGCCTTTTAACATTATATTCAGCTCTTAAAACCCAGTGCAATGTGCTACATACTTTAAAGGACACAGGAGTCAAACTGGAAAATCATTTTAAAGCTTAATATAATCAATTCCCAACATAATCGGGTGCGGAGTGAAGAAAAGATGTGGCCCGAGTTAGCTGTTCTCCCTCTTCACCACCTTTGAACACTATAAGGAACATGAAACCAGCTGTGTCATGGGTCCCAAGCATGGAAGCCCCTCACCTGCCCCTGCCCATTTAGCCCAAGGACCTTTTGTATTCATACTCAAGAGCCTGCACAACAGAAGTTCTGGGCCACTCAAGAGAGTTCAGAAAGGAAAATCCACTGCCTGTCAGGGGGAGCAGGGGGAGCTGCCACTGCAGTATCCTCTCTGCCTAGGCCTAGCAGGGCTCCAGCAGTGCTTTGAGGTGGGGGTGGAGGGTCGGGAGCAGGATTCTGCTCGGGCTTTGGGAAGCCCCAGTTCTGTACTGCTGTGCGAGGCTCGAGCTGGAGGCAAGGCAAGAATCTCAGATCAGTAGGCTAATTGCTTTGTGCTAAATAGAAGCCATACTTGCATACTAATTTACACGCCATTACCCAGAGCTCAGTGCACTGGAGCCTGCCTTCTCTCAGGCAGCCCCTTCTAGATTCAGAATGTATTCCACTCAACTCATTCAGGGCTTCTGTACTCCTCCTGCCACCACTGGGGTCAGTTTTCTCGAGAACAGACACCTACACTGACCCCAATTCCTTAGCCCCTGGCTCAGGCAGCCCACACATTAGGGCCATGATGCAATGATGCTCCTGCAAACTGTGCTGCAGTAAAAATTACCCTGGAGCCTACAGATGAGGGGAGCAGCAAACATTCAATGACATTGATTTCAAGTGATGGAATAAGGCAACCCACTGTCACCAACTCTTCTCAGACCCAGACAGTACCGAGCACAGATGGAGACAGCCCACGACCCCGAGTCCCAAAGCCCCTGGGAACAGCACTGCTCCTCACACCACGAGCCCTGCTTCCAGCCATTCTCCAAGGAACCCCTCTCTGTCGAGACGAAACCTGGAGACTGCTTCTGCAGGAGCTATAGCCCCATCTCCTGAGCAGCCACAGCCACAAAATTCCTTGGTTTATCAGTGGCAATGACATTGGAAAGATCTTATACCCTGAGGATCCTGGGTCTTTCACATCTGACTTGCAGTTGAAAGCTGCGTACCATCTCTCCCTATTAGCATGTGAGCCCCTGGAGAACAGGGACTATGGCCAATACTTGGCGAAGAGTAAGCACTTATTAAATGGGATTTCTTTCATTCAGTGTCCTCTATCAGACCAGAGTGGGCAATATTCCACAAAAGCGGAAGATGTATCATCCATGCTCACTGAAGGTCCCTTGGCAAAAGCCAGTGCCAACATGAACATATTTTTACTTAGACCAAAAGACAAAACTTAGAATCACAATTTTTTAGAGCTCAAATTATCCCACCCCCTTATATTACAATGGAAACACTGAGGTTCATTCAGACTCACTTAAAGCCCAGTGTCAATCTGATTCTACTTATCTTAAAGCCAGTGTCTTTTCCATCATACCACACGTCTGTGTCTGCCCTTGCATGAATCCATAGCAAGACTCAGTGTTCTCTATAAGCCTGGCTCTTTACCTACTCTGGTGTTCCACGTGCCCCCCCCTTTTTAAAATTAATTTACTTTGATTTATCAACAATCACTTCCATATGCTTTTGAACTTGAATTTTTTTTTTTTTAGTGAGGCAACTGGGATTAAGTGACTTGCTCAGGGTCACACAGCTAGTGTCAAGTGTGTGAGGCTGCATTTGAACTCAGGTCCTCCTGACTCCAAGGCTGGAGCTTTATCCACAGCACCACCTAGCTGCCCCCCCACATGCCCCTCTTTTGCTAGAAGGCAAGAAATGTTTTACAGGGTGATACTTTTAGAAGAAAATTGGATGACTGGCAAACATGGCACAACAGATCTAGCCTAAGCTCCCTTCTTTCCCAGTAGCCTAATTGAAGATCCAAGGCGCAAAACCCTAGTGGAAAAATCATCTCTCTTTTAGGTTCTATTCACTAAACTGTGAACTCCTTGAGGCCAGGGAATGTCTTTTGCCATTCTTTGTATCCCCAGTGTTTAGCACAGTGCCTGGCACATAGCAGGCGTTTAATAACTGTTTACTGACTGACTCAGGATCTCATAGACCTCCCACTCTTCCTCACTGCTCTCATATGGGATCATCCGTTCTCCTACCTTTTCATTTTCTCCATGAAGCCAGTGTCCTGGGTCTTAACTTAGAAACTCTATATACCAGGAGAAAGAAACCCAAATTTCCTAGCAATAAAAATGTCACCAAAGCTTTTGACAGTCCTACAATGATAACAGATAAAGGTACTCTATAGGAAATCCATAGATAATAAGATAAACAAAAGCAAGAGAAGGCATTCTCTCTCTGCATTTACCACATACCTTGGTCCTCTGGACAAGAAATAAGTAATGAAGACTTCATCAACAGAGATGTTGGACACACAATATATACAAATAGGCAAGGTGATACAGATTCCACAGTCTTAAAGAGTATTAGTTAATGAACTTACCAAATTACCCACAGTTATTTTTGAAATGTTATGTTGAAGGAGAAAGTCAGAGAGGACTGAGAGGAAATGCTTGGCTTGGTGGGGGTAAGGGAGAGAAAGGAAATGTTCTATTTACAAAGACACAAATCCATACTGAATGTACAACAAAACAGGAGTGAACAAATGCAACTCCAATAATGAAGGAAAAAGCAAAGAGGTAGGTTTTTATTAAATGGGGAAAATCTCATATGAATACAAACGTCATCAGATTATCTGTACACATAAAAAATGCAGGAGGTACAGCCAGAGGAAGAGAATGATATGCTGGAACCAAACACTTCTGATTTTCTGTACCTGGTGGCCTCAAGGAGTGTCCCTATAAAAATCGGTCAACTCTAGTCATTTGGAAAGTTTGTGCTAAGCTATGACACTTCCCATTTCTTGAATGTGGCCCACGGGAGAAAAGGATATTGGCACTAATGCATTAAATGTCTGTGGAAGGAAGCCGCAGGAAATGCTAAAGCCCCAATGTACTTCAAAAGGCACATTCTGGATCAATTCAGGGGCACAGACTCAGTCCTCCTTTTAGATCAACTGGTATAAAGTGGCCATACAGAATAAAGAATCCTAGGGAATATTTAGCAGTCCTTACAAAATTCAGGGCAAGCTAGGGATAGGGGAAAAGGGAGGATAGGGGTCAAGACCAATAGAATCCTGTATTTGCTATCTCAGTCCAAAAGCTAAATGAGGTCAGAACAAATCTGTGAAGAACACTCACCAAGGGGTTTTACAAAGGAGGGAAAAAACAATAGAAAAGGTTCCAGTGAGAATATGCTTACATAGGAAAAGACAGTACAGTTCAACCTTCATAAACTTAAGCCAACACAAGCCACCGTCCCCTGCCCCTCTACAAATCTAGGACGACATTGGGACAAAAGGTTCAAGCAGCAACAAGCAAGAGAACTGGAGGCAAGAGTAGAGAGCAAATAAGATGTGAGGGACACCATGATCCACAGGGGGGTGGGGGGAAGGCCAAGGAAGGGAGAAACTATGGAGACTGATGGTGCCACTTTATCTGCCATCTCTCAATCAAGCATCTCAAAGCACTTTAAGGGCCATAGCTTCTTCATCCTTCCAGAGGAAGACAATGAGCTGAAACATCCCCTAGGGAGCAAGGAATGAACTTCAGGACCAGTCCTCGGCCCAGCAGGCCACCTCCTCCTTCATGCTGTATGTGACAAAGAATGGTGGATGAGGCCCAATGCAACATTAAAGCCAGCATTGACAAAGCTCTCATATATAGTGAAGAGAAGGAGAGCTCAATGAGCCTTTCCTGGCTACTTATATCTGTGGCACAGAAGGAAGATAGGAAAGGATTGCTATCACATTTTGGACATTACTCAGCTCTTCAAAATCTCCCTTCCTTCTGCCTACGACAGTGTACTGCTGGGCTCTTCATGGTCCCTGGTTAGTAGCTGCCATAAGTAGTCAGCTGGTCAAAAATAAAATACGCAAAACTCCATACAAAGGAAAGAATCAGTCAACACTGAAAAAGGTCTCTAGATTGAAACTCTAGATAACAGCTCTGAACTCATTTAAAAATCAGCATTAGCCACCAAAATGTAAAGTATTAGTTTTATTAAAATGCAAATCAATCAACTAATCTGTCTTTCTAGTAACAGTTGAATTGCAGTATCCGTGTCAATTAAAATAGTTTCCAATTTATTCTTGGCTGAAAAGAGGGTGGTATTCTGAATTTTAAAACATGGGCCTCCCTTCGATGAAAACCCCTTGCCTGTTCGGTATTTCACATTGCTCCCAACTTCTCATTCACTTTAATTAAGCATATTTGCTCCAAAGATTCTGGAACACCTATTTAGATCTCATTCTTCACCTGATAAAATATGACAGTGACAAAAGGCCTGATCCCCTTAAGAAAGCAAGCTGGGTGTTAACGTTCATAGAAATATTAAAGAGTTATTTACGTGCTGTTATAATATGCATTATCTGAAAGTCCTCAGGCCAGATGGAAAGAATCATACATTATATTCAAAAAAGAGATCCCTTTTTGAGTGATGCCTCATATTTCTGGTGATTGATATTTTCTGGAAATGGAGCAGCACTGAAAATTTTATGTTTCCTTGACAGGCAAACCCAAGAGGTGAATATCAAGGCAGGAAAAACAAGTCACCATGAAAAAAGGACCAATTAATTAGAGTGGGACAACCTTCTTCCCTTCTATTTGCTCCCATCTTGTTCTTAGAAGACATATATGCATGTAAAATAAGAATCTGTAATTCTGTTTTGATGTTTTCATCACCAAAATATTATTTCCCAAACCACAACTCTGTATTTATGACAATTACACTTTGTGAGCCAGTCTAAGGGTCTCTTCTTAGACTCTAAGGCATCAAATAAAGACTTGGGCAGAGCAAAGGGTACAGCTGAGCACTTGGCTCCACGTGCTGCTCCATCCATATGCATGCATTACTTATGCACGATCATCTTCATTGTGATTGACCACAGCAGGCCAATAAATCCCCCTTATGGGGATTTAATTTCCAGCTTTTGACCTTTGGATGGAAAACAAGTGAATCATCTGCTCCTGCTAGATTTACACCAGAGTTAACCTCAATAAAGTGTCATGAGTGGTGAGAAAGGATTCTGAAAGAATCCTTATCAGTTAGAGGAAAACAAAGAAGAGAAAGTCGAGAGATCAATATTTAGCTGAAAATTCACAAATATTTCTAAGCTGCAAAAAAAGGGTGGGTGTGACCATCAGGATTTTCTACAGTGCCTTGTGGCTCAGAGCCATGAAAAACTTCTGATCAAGACAAGTAGCATTTTTCTCAGGCTGTCTTCTTTCAGTGAAGTCTTACGGCACGCAGTCCCAACGTCTACTCAAATAGCTTCTTGCTTGAAAGAATAATTCTCAACCAATTACTGAACATTCCAATAGAACACCGGGTCCTTTAACTGATGATGCTTTCAAAATGTTTACAAGCAGCAAAACCAACAGCACTTCTCTGTGATCATCGAAGACATGAGGGATGGCTCTCTTGGCACACAAAGCCCTGAAGACACTTTTAAGAAAGGGAGAGGGAGAGGATCCTTAATGTCCTGGAGGTATCCGACAGGTGTTATGAGTGGGTGCATATTAGAGATACTTCTTCCAGAGGGACTGCTCTAGCTCTCCCACTAAATTCAGCCTCAGGTGTCAAAGAGGTGTCAATCGCTTAACTAGATGAACAGCCACAACTGCATATGGAGACAGCTTCTTGTTCTAGGGCTGTCTCTTCAATTCTAGTAGAAAAGACACACTCGCCTGGAAAGGGGTGGGTAACCCTAATTTAGAGGGCCTTCTGCAGGTGTGCTGACTTTTCCAAAGAGTGATCGATAAAGCTCTGTCCTAAAAGACAAAATCAAAAGGAAAATATGAAAAAAAAATGCATGCCAGGTAACTTTTTCAAGGTTAAATCCAGACGAAGAGATATGAAATATTCTAATGTTCTTCAACAGAAAATCCACCAAGTGCATTCCATAGTCCTCCTTCCTTCATAAACACAGAGGAAGGAAAGGAGCCTCTAAGCAAACTAACCACAGGCTGCACTGAAATATGTCACTACTCCAATGTGGATGGGGACCCTGTCTCTAGGGAATGAGCTTTCTTAAGTTTGCCCTTTACAGATAGGCTCTTCAAGTAAGAAAACAAGATTGAATATTTTAATAGGATATATGAGACTGCCACACTCTAAGGAGGATTCAATCAGGAATGGGATGTGGGGGATATAATTTAGTTTTCATACATTTTCTTGGACTTGACGGTACTTGAAAAACAATGAAAATGACCCAGCAACAAGATTCCAATTAATATCACATATGCAGCAGTTCCAATAGTAGAATTGAGTTCCCCTTCTCCCTCCCCTTCCCTTCACCCCAATAAAAAATTAGACTAGCTTATTTATTTCTAAAGGTTGGATTTTTACACACACACACACACACACACACACACACACACACAGAGGATATTGTGCACCAGAAATAAAAGAAGTAACTTCTAATCTCTCCCCCAAGAATAGGTACATATACTTACAGTCACTTGGTGGGGGGTGTCAAGAAATGCCTAAAGAAGGAGGTAGTAGGGGCAGCTAGGTGGCGCAGTGGATAGAGCACCGGCCCTGAAGTCAGGAGGACCTGAGTTCAAATCTGGTCTCAGACCAAACACTTGACACTTACTAGCTGTGTGACCCTGGGCAAGTCACTTAACCCCAATTGCCTAAAAACAACCCCCCCCCAAAAAAAGGAGGTAGTAAAGAGGTAAAAGTCAAGTCAACAAACATATTATTAGATGTTGACTTTGTGCCAGGCACTAGGGACTCAAAGAAAGGCAAAAATGGGATCCCTGCCCTCAAAGACAATGTAAAAAATTATGTACACAAAAAAATACAATGCAAATGGAAGATCACTTCAGAGGGAAGCACAAGCATTGGAGGGGGGTTTCTGGGTGGGCAAGGATGATATGAGGGAAGTACCAGGAAAGGGCTTCTGTAAGCATGGGGGCCAGCCAGCCAGTGAAAAGGCAAGGGGTGGGTGACAGAGTGTTATGTGTGTGAAATGACAAGGAGGTCAGTGCGGTTGGATCCTAGACTATGTGGAGAAGAGTAAAGTATAAGATGACTGAAAAGGCAAAAAGGGGTTCGGTTGTAAAGGGCTTTAAATGACAAACAGAAGATTTTCTATTTGATCCTAGGGACAATAGGGAGCTGCTAGATTGAATGAATGTGTATGGCTGTGGCAAGTGCGAAGGGAGGCAGGATATGGTCAGACTTGAGTGGAGGACCTGGGGGGTGGGGAGGTGGGAGGGAAAAGAAGACAACCAACACCAGGCAGGGGCAGATCCCATACAGCAGGCTATGGTCACAGAACAGAACTTCACTTCAGAGGTCAGAGGGCCCAACCAAGAGTTCCCCAGCAGAACTAAGTATACCTTACAATATATGAAGTCTGGTCCACAGGAAAAACAATGTGGGTTCTTGCCAAATAAGGACAGATAACCTGATGGCACAGGACAGGCACCATTATTTAACATAATGGCCCAACAAATATCTTGAATGAAAGAAGAAATGGGCCGAGGAAACAGTCTTAACCCAATGAAGATGGAACCGGTCAGTTTCATGGCCTAATCCCTATTACCACTAATTTCTGAGCTCCTAAGCTCATGAAGGCACAGTACTGGTGAGCCACACTTATTATTTAATAATATCTTATGCCTAGCTTTGAAAAACATTACAGCATCTGCTGTTTTTGTGTGGGAAATCCTCCATGCAAGTTTCTTCAGGGGCATTTGTAGCTCCCTACAGTGACTACGGACAGGAATTGTGACAACAAAGAATAACCTCATCTAGAAATCAAGTTACAAGAAAGAAAGAAACTTAAAGAAAAATAAGAAGCCACTCTCAAAGTCCTGAAGGGAATCAACCAGCCACAGCAACACCCTAAACCCATCTATAGAAGCATTATAATCTGCAATAGTGCAGGCAGCATCCACAACAACAAAATCATGAGTCCCTGAAGTTGGCACAATCAAGGCAATGGTATTAGGAGTCCAAGAGCTGGGTTCTAGCCCTGGCTCTGCCACTAATTAACTGTGATCATGGACTAGTCATGAGGCAGCTAAGTGGCACAGTCAGAAAGACCAAGTTCAGATCTGGTCTCAGATACTTCTTGGCTGTGTAACCCTGGCAAGTCACTTAACCTGTGTGCCTCAGTTTCCTCAACTGTAAAATGAGGATAACAACAGCACCTGCCCTGCAGGGTTGTTGTGAGGATCAAGCAAAACAGTACTTGTAAAGCCCCATGCAGTAGGTGGTATGCACTACAGAAATGTTGCTTCTCTTCTCTTCGTCCCCCTTGGCACAGTTCAAGATCAATTCTAGTCACTTGTCTATGTGCCTCAACTTCCTCATTCATAAAATGAGATTTGACCTATGTGATGTCTAGGGTCCCATGTGACTCTAATACTATGATTTACTCAGTTCCCACCCCCCAAAGATGAAAGTCCCTTTATGGTTTTTTCCAATTCCTCCATAATCTCCAAAGAACTCCAGCAAGGTTTATGTCATACTGCCCCTCCCCTCCCCTCCCCCATTCTGAGCTGAACCACAGCAGCCCTGGGGTTTCTCCCAGGTTTCTTCTTTCTGTAGGAGGCACTTCTTGACAACTTCCATGAAGGCTGATCTGAGCCAGTGAATGTAAAGCACCTGGGCTCGACCTTCCCTAACGTGGCTCCCCTGAAGGCCTCTGTCTTCTCTTCAATCCAAGATGAAGGTCGCAGACTGTATCACTAGCTCCTCTAGAGGCTCCACAGGGTTCTGCTCTCCTCTCCCTCTAGCCCTTAATTCTTAGCTGGGAGGGAAGGAAATGATACAAAGAGAGAGATTCACCAATTCACAGGACCCAAAGGTCTTAGCACCAGTACCAACTCAGACTTTACTGGACCCTTCAGTTTTCAGAACAGAAAGGAATTTCCATTTTGAGGCTTTTAAAAGCATTTGTATGCCAAACACTCATGTATATGAGCAAAGTTTATATAGCAGGGAAAATCAAAACATCTTCTAGTATTGATGACTAAGGGAGTTTGAGCTGGCTTTGAAATAATTTTTTCTCCCTATATGTTCTTTATGAGTTCTCAAGACTTCCTCTTTACCCATGTGCTGCCCAACAAAAGACAAGATGCGTGAGATCTCTACGGAGCTGTGTGAGCAGCTGAGCCTGGCTCCTAATTTTGAATGGCTCTTTTTCCTACCTCCCCTCCTCCACCAACTCACTGGTACAGGGGACTCCTGGTGAGGAAATTCCCTCTACCAATGAAGATCTGCAACTGCTCTGCAATTTACAGTCTTAGGTAGTAGCCTGGGGGTAGTGGGAGGTTAAGTGCCTTGCAAAGATAGATGGCTTTTTCTAGACAATCATACACAAACTGTCCTCTACTCCATTTTTAAATTCAGAGGTTTCATCTCTTGCTGAATTTTGCATTCACTGAAGGAGTCTAGTGATGTTGGAGAGACAAATTCAGAATCATAAACTAGAGGGATGCTGAGTTTTCTGAGTTTCAGCAGACTGGGAGCTAGCCAGGTTTTCCTAGATTTGGAAAGACCTGGGATCCAGAGGCCACCGCTCAGGACAAGGCATCAGTCAGCATGTGAAAGACAGCCCTACCCTTTGCAAAATAAAATAACAGCAGCAGCAATACCCTAGCCCTCTTAACAAAACAACTGTCAAGGAATCAAGAGTCACGTTTTCTTCTACAGCACAGAAACTGTTCCCCCTGCAGCATCTTCCTTCACCAGGGCTTAGCCATGCAGAGAGCCAAACTATCAATCCTTCAGGTTAACCTTGTCTCCACTTGATTCTGCAGGCTAAGTGTACAGTTTAATACTCTTGGTCCTCCCCTTAAGGCTATGCATAATGAAGTCAGAATTAAAAAAAAAAATTCCTCCTACCAATCATATTAAGAATTGAGATTTGAGTCACTGAGCTGAAATGTATTCCCGCCCTTTGTCCACCCCCCCACCTCCCAACATGCTCAGCTTCAACTGCCAGTGGGAACATCCGTTGGCGAAAAGGTGACTTTTAGCAGCTTTAGAGTGTATTGCTGTTAGTACCATGCAGAAGAATAACCTGCATAGAGTAATTAACAGGACTTATACCTGAGGTAGAGAGAGGCAGAAGGTCGATAGCAGGGGCTCTTCCTTGAATTAAAATTTAACTTACCCTTTATTGCAACCTACAAAAGCAAGTAATGAGCACTAACATTTTTATTTCTTTTAAACTGTCATTTAGGCTGTAGAGGGGATAATTACCTATCTCGACTGTAGTAAGGTTTTATAACCCTTAGTGAGGCATTTTCTAATTTAATATTTTTACTATATTATCATAAAACCTGTTTCTGGAAAAAACGGTCATGGATTAGCAGCCATCTTCCATAAAATGTGTGTATGTGTGTATTAGGATCTGGACTTTAATTATTTATTATGCAATTCTTCTGACCATGCTTAAAAAAAAAGTACAAGCTGTGCACACCTGTACAATGCAATCAACTGTACTTAGTAGTGGGTACATTTTAAACATTACTGAACGATGTAAGGCAAATGCTCATCACCGTAAGGCAGATGGTCATACGTACATACACATACAAACGTTCTCGCTCTCGTTCTCCACATGCACACTGATCATGGGACTCAAACGCTGACAGTTGCAGCTCATGATGGTAGTAGGACAAATAGCACAACAGGGGCATATGAAACCTGCAAATGATCTTGGTTGGCTCTCAATTTCCGAGGCCTGCAGCCTGCAGCAGTAACCAGGAGTGTGTTTCCTGAAGGAACTGTACCTACATCCTCCCCACCC